CACCTTCTACTATAAAGTTCTGTCACATAATATGCTATATAATATAAATGAATTTTAAAAGTTGCATATAATACCTATTTTATGCATTGCCCTGTAAATGTATGTTTCTCATTCAAAAGAGCAAACTAATAAAACAAGTTGTCTGTACCCTTCAAAAATATCATCCTAAGACACAAAGGACCAGAGAATTAATTACTCCTGATTAAAGGCTAGAAAGAGTTAAACACAATATATGATCCTGGATTGGATCCTGGTATCAGAGTGGGTTGGGCTAATTTGGGTTTGGGTGTTTTTGCTATAATGACATTATTAGGACACCTGGTAAAACTTGAATATAGACTGTATTAGATGATAGTATTGTAACAATGCTAAAGTTCCTGAATTTGGTCCTTGTGTTGTAGTTACACAAGAGAATGCCACGACTTTAAGGAAATACATGCCAATGCATTTTTACTTAAAGGGGGATAGCATCTACAAATTACTCTCCCAAATTTTAGAAAAAAAAATTAGAGCTATGAAGCATATTGGTAAAATGTTAAGCTGGTCAATCTAAATGAAAGGCTTCCCAAAGTTCTTTGTGTTATCTTTGTAATTCTTCTGTATGTTTGAGAACTTATGGAAGAGTTGCAGGAATAAATAAAATCTAACTAAACTAAACATGTTTCCATGAATACAATACAATGAAACTTGCCTTAGCATTATTTGCTTACTTTTCTGCTGGCTAGTTAATTGTATATTACGAAAAAGGAGATGGTATCTGTTGTGCTCATAGTGCCCATAACAGAGTAGATGCTCAATAAATTATGGGATGCAGAAAGAAATGATAAAGAGTGCAGTAAAATGATTGATGTCACTATATCCCTTATTCTTCCTTTTGGCAATGTTGCAAGAATTCATCAAAAAGTTCGGCTCTGACAGAGCCCTGTCAATCACTTCATGGCACTGTCTCAGCCTCATTAACCTGATGGCCATGGTACCACACCTTAGGAAACATCTTCCCAGTACTGACTAGCAGTTTCATTCCAGAAAGCAGTCTCTAAAGAATACATGAATGTGTTGGGGAGGGGGGGGAGCAAATCCATAAAATGGTCAGTCAGAAAGTCTACAGTTTTGTGGTGTTCCCCACCATTACCTCCTTTCAGATATCACCTCTCATTCTTTGAAATGAAGGGAAATGTACTAAGAATATTTTTGATAAGTGAACAAAGACTATGGTGCCCCCAACACTAGATTTTATGAGTGTCTGAAACCTTTCAGAATGTATAAGGTAGATAAATGACAGTCTATAAGCTTTAATGGCATTGAACTAGTAAATGAACCCTTCACGTTTTTTTTTTTTAAGTTAAGAAAACAAAGCATATCACCATGAACAATATGAAGATCTGAATACATATGCCCAAGGCAAGCTGATTTTAGTGTTGCATGAGAAGGCAGTAGCATGTATTAGTGGTAAGACAGGGGATATGCAGCCAGTTAGAATTTGATTCAAATTCTAGCACCTCCAGTAACAACCTGTGTAGTCTTAGGTAAGTCACATGATTTCTGAGAGCTAGTTCTATTAGCTACATCATAGGGATAATAATACATTCCTTTTATAATAATGTGACTGTGAGGATCCATCAGTGTCAACTACTGTAGAAGTCTTGGATTAATAAATGTATTAATGGTCACTTTTTGTTCATTTCTTGTTTGCTATAGGGTGCATGTGCTCAACAGAGAGAGATGGAGAGAAAGAGGGAAAGTGAGAAATCACTCTCGGGGGGGATTCTCCTTCTTTGAATCTCTGATCCTTCATTCTCCTCTCAGGATTTTAAGCATGCACATGCACAGAGTGATTTTCTACCTTCCAGGTCCAGGACTCAACCTACTCATGCACAGTCAGCCTAGTGCCTTCTTCTCTATGCCACCTGCTGGTCCCCAATAGATGGTAGCTCTTATTATCATCACCAAGACTGTGCAGTAACCGTATTTGAGAGGGGATTTTAGTCACATTTCATCCACTCACAAAGAGCTCCCAAAGGCCTGGTGACCACAAATGAAGCCTTAACTCAGACAGTAGAGTCTTTGAAAGGAACAGAATTAAAGTATGATCTGTCTTTCCATGATGGGATCCAAAGCTATTAGTCAACCTAGAACACATGTGCTCTGTAAATCAGCTCCACATGTTCAGAGATAACTTTGAAGTAGCATGCTAAGTTGGGGTAGGAGGGCTTAAAACTTAGTGATTCTTGGGGCTAGCAGATGGCATAGCAATTATGTTAGTGGACTCCCACATGGCTGACCATGATTTAAATCCCAGACCTGGTGGCTTGAAACTCACGCTGAGTGCAAGTGCATGTTTGCCTAAGATCTGGAAGAAGGAAAGGGATTGTAGTGTGTCCACCCCCCACCACCGGGGGGTGATTTCTCTTTCACTGTCCCTGGAGAGTGAATACACCCTACGGCAAAGCCTCTACCAAAAAACAAAACCAAACCAAACCCTTAGTGACTCTACCTGTGCCAGGTAATCTACGAAACAACTGTGAAGAAGCAGAGAACCAGTCACCACTGCTGAGTTGGACCCAGATGTCTAAATATGATGATGAGATTGCTCAGGTCTATTTCAAATGAATTTTCAGAAAGTACATGAGCATATCAAGATTTGGAGTGTCTAGGAGAGATTACTCTTTGGACCATGTTTGTTATTGGGTGAATGTTCAAAGGAGGGCTAGAATCCAATAATCTTCCTCTCTAGATGTAAATCCTCTTGTCTGCCAATGTTGAGTATCAGATTCCTTCTTACTGGGGAAAGGAATAGACTTGCAGGTTATGTAGAATTGGATTCAAACACAAAATGTAGGACTAGGTTTAAATTCCTGATCTGTCATACATCGACTTTGTGAATTTGGGGAAGTTATTTGTTTCACAGAACTCACTCCGTTTCCTCATCTACTTTGCTTCAAAGGTTCAATGAGCTAATGCCTATAAAAAGACTTTTGTTCATAGTGGTTACTCAATAGACCCTTGTTCCCCTGGACACTGAACATTCTAAGGACTAAATGAGAGAACGCTGCCCTTCCCCTCACTGAAAGCTAAGATGATATTGACTTATTGAAGCATGAAAACATCAGTGTGACCCATTTAGAAGCTTGTTTTACCCCAGGGAACTGATATCGAGGAATCAACATCCTTTGCAATTACCTCTGCCCAAATAGCTCCCCACATGTGGGCTGGGGCCTGTGCTGAGCTGCAGCTCCCTGTGAGCTCTGGGATTCATGCTGTCAGCTCTGAAGACCTCAGTCACCACTGTGCTGGCAGCCTCTGTGTTGAACTTGGGCAGCAGCCAACGTCTGAGCGCTAGCCTTAAGTGAGATCGGCTTAGAGTGTCAGGAACCTGTCTTTGGGGAAACAGGATTTTCTCCTGTTGGTGTGAAGTGTCGGTTTTTGGCTTTAATAAATGCAGTGTACATGAAGCTACATCCTCTTCCAGTCTGTACCTATTGTCTCAAAGTAATTAGCACTTTCTTTCATTCGCATTAGTGATCCAGTTTGGATGACAAATTATATGGTCACTAAGTACGCCCATAAAAACCCAAGTGACAGCAAGGTGGCTGGGTGTGATTCAGGTGCCAAGAAAAATTCAAAAAAGAAACAAGGCTTCTGGGAATTAAAAACTGATTTTAACATTGAGAAATAAGAGCTACCAGTGGATTTTTCATGTGGCTCAAGTAGCTGGTAGTGATTAATTCAAAATGGTACTCATACATCTACTAACAGTGGTCCAATCTAGGGAAGGGAGAGAAATTTCGTGTGTGTGTGCATGCACGCATGCACAAAGAGGGGGAGAAAAAAGGCAGTGGTGTATTCCTGGCAAATACTGAGTGATAGTCTTTTAAAGGGAGGGGGATAGGAGAATCATTGAATATAAGAACTGAACAAAAATACACACAGCTAGTTCCTGTGAGCCAGCAGGAGTTGGCTCCAGCACACTCTGAAGAACTTGGACTTCCATACATAAAGTTTTTGTAATGTTCCACTTTTCAGAGTATCCATATATTACTTTTGTAATAATAAATGCTGTAAACAGAGGACTTCAAGGTCATAGAAAAAACGGAATTCAAGTTCAAGTTTACTTTGGTGTAGAAATTTTTTTGGAATCCATGAAAATTTTTTTTTTCATACTATGTATTTCCTCTGAACTGTCTTAAAACAAAACAAAACAAAAAAACAAAGCAACTTTGCCAGAGAGCACAAATGTACTCCATAGAAAGACAGAGAGATAGAGAGAGAAAACATCCCCTAATAGGGCATGATCATCCCACAATTCCTTCTCTTTCACTTCTCCAAGCTTCTGGGACTCTGGACACATAGGTATGTGCCCAGCATGGTTTTCAAGCTTCTGGGCAAGGATCAGAACCTTACAGTTGGCCATGTGGGATCTGGCTCCCTTAACTACCAGGCATGGGGCTGGTCCTCCCATGAACTTTTTACAGCTCCCACATATTTGCTGTATATTCTCTCTATGTGCATAAGTATGTATATGCAGAAATACATATATATGGATACCTACATATAAACGTAAACATTTCTATCTGTGGGAAGATTCATCCTAATTGTGGTTTTTCTAATTTTTGTATGAGTCTCAGTGAAACACTGACTTGAACACATGACATATTGAGCTGTCTCACAGATCAGACTGAGAAGGGGCTCTGTATACCACCAGACCAAAAGGGTGAGATGTTCTGTACAACTGACGGCCACAATTTACCTAGCTAGTCCACAGATGGTATAAAAACACATCTGGCATCATTGTCAAGAAAGAGGCGAAATGGAAAATTTGAAAATAGTTTGAGGATGAAGTGAGATATAACCTCGGGCAAGGAAGAACAAAAGCTTAAGGTTCAAACAGTGAGAAAAATAAAACGAGAGAACAGAAGGTGGGAAGTTACTGTTCATCGATTTTGATTTTGCTCTCTAGCTGAAGTGTGTCTCAGTGGTTTCTTACAAGAGCAGGAGGGGAATGGGGAAGAAACAGTCTGTACGTTCTTTTATTGAATGCAGCTTTCGCTGGTCACATTGCAACTCGATACAAACAGCCCAGCAGAGGGTAGGGCGTGAACCCTTGTTCTCATCAATGTAAACACAACATTAATATTGAAGATTAAAGAAAAGGGGTAAAAAGTCCAGTGTCTCCTCAATCTGTGTGATGGGGAAGGTGCTTGCCCACCCTTGGACAGGTCCCAAAGGAAGACTGAGGTTGTCATCTCTTCCCATCCACAGTGAAGCAGGCAGGAACACAGAGGAACCCAATCACGTCCTTCTTGTAGATCTTCGGAATTGGGCTCGCATGAAGTATTAAGGTTCTTCTGAAGGCCTGAGAGGTTCGTACCTTTCGTGTCTACTGAAATAGTTCCTTCAAAGCCCTTTCCCCACAAATCGGTCACCACCAATAGAAAATGTGACCGGTGTAAAATGGCCGGCTCTCCTATTTCCACAGTCCCCATCGTAGCTCCGGGTTCTGGACAGCAGGGAATTCAAAATCATGGGAGTTCCGACAACAATCCTGAAGGGAGCTGTCCCTGTGTACATCTTGGCTGGCAACTCTTGTTCCCCTTGCCGGGCCGCGGCTGAGAGAGGGACGCTGGTTGAGGCAGCTGAATTTTCTTTAGAGCCTTAAAGGATCAGATTTACTATTCTGGATTCCAAGACCCCCGAACAAAATCCTCCAAACAAAAGCAAATAAAAACAAAAGGAGAGTAACTTGGAAGATAAAGAACCAATCAACCCCATCTCCAGGTCCCTCTAGATACCACGTCCCCATTGGGTTTTTCTAAAGGGTCAATTTAGATCATTGGTTTGCCCTTCCCTTGGATACCTAGCTACACTGCGGGGCAAACAAGAAAGTTTCCTCTGAATGAAGAGACAAGTTTGCTTGTATTTCCTGGGATGACGGATTCCCAACACCCTGACTTCGCTTTCTCCCCAGCTATGATGGAAGGTCTAATTACTAAAAAGCAATGAGAACATCCTAAAGCCCTGACTTGGTTCCCTTCCACCTCTTGAGGTCCCATTCTTGAAGAGACTGTGTAGGCAGGCTATTTTTCCACATTCCTGGAATGCTGGAGATGGGACAGAAAAGGGTTGGCTGGATCTTCATCCAAGATCTCTGTAGTTGAGGGCAGCTTTGTTGGGCCAAAGATCCAAATAAAAAACAAACCAAAAAAAGCATTGCTTGATTCTGAATTTCAAGGCTGGGCCCCAAACAGTGAGTGGTTCTTCCCCTGCAGCGCGTCTCTCCCTAGTGCGGGCTTCTTGATGCTAGCTGTTGTTCTCGGCCGTGAGATATTTCAGGGCAGCGAAGCCATAGCGGCGG